TTGTAGAACTCACAGAGGAGGTACTTTTAGTTTCCACTGCAAAGATAAAAGTAGTGCAGTAATCTCCTCTGCTGTAGTCTTTGAGCACAATGTAGGTATTTACTAGAGTCAAGTCATATCAAAATTTGATTAACAATAAATATATATTTGCTTATATTTTATCACTAGAATGAAGCTGAAATCCAAAATATACAAGTGTTTTATAAGAAATACAAATAGCTATGTCAGTTAAGCATGTACTAGGGCCATACGTGGTTGTAAGCTGTGAATATATGCATACTATACACATATAGATAGATAGCCCCATGTATGTGGTGTACACAAACATGTCTGTGCGTGCATATATAGTCATGTAATTCAAGTCAGAAGTAATACAGGCCACTGATACTGCTGTTCACAGGCTATTTTCCCTCTCTGGCCGTTTTCACATTTTTCCTACATACTTAAATGTTCACTGACCAAGTATCACCCCATCAGATTATACGCAAGTAGAGTCCTTTCTTTTTGGCCATCAGTGCTTCACCCCGAGGGTCAGTGCTGTAGGATCAGAGCAGGAGTGAGGTCCTGGGCCCACAGACCCAGGCCGTGGCTTTCCTGCTTACAGAGGATTCCAATAACGACCATTTATCCAACTCTGTCCATCCTCCGACTTCAGATACATCAAAAACTCATCAATTAGGACTGGGGATTTAGCTCAGTGGCGCTGCCTGCCTCCAAAGTGCAAGGTCCTGAGTTTGATCCCCAGTACCAAAAAAAAAAAAAGTAACTCATCAATTAATCAAATACGGCACCCACTTTCAGATGATGGGTGAACAACCTGTCGGATGCTGAGATGAGAAGGACTCACTTGGGAGAGGCCCAGGAGTGAGAGAGTCACGTTATCTCAGAGTGTCTCTTACAACTTGGGAAAATTAAACAGATAGAATGACTGCCCCCAAATGGTGTCTGCAGGCTTATTTCCCCTGGCATGTGCTTTTCCCTGCGTACTGATGTTTCTGTCTAAATGTTAAGTAATCTAGTTCATAGGCCTGGCTCTTCCAAAGAAAGAATGAATGACTGGTGCCCCCCTCTAACCGATTCACGGCCCCTCCAGAGCCCTGGGTGTTTAAGTACAGATCTGTTTGGAAGGAGGACCTCAGGCTCACAGGCCCGGACTGTGAAGCTCGGTGCTCCTTCGGAGCATGCTTCAGGGCCCCTGCTTTGGGTGGGCCGAGCATCTTCCTGTTCTGTTGGAAGAAAGATCCCAACCTCTGGGGATCTTCCATCTTCTCCATAACAAGAGGAGGTTCTTGAAATTGTCATTTGCAAATCTGAAAAGGCTCTTGGGGCATTAGAAATTCAAGGAATGGCACCCAGTGTCCCTGCCTGGTGTGCATTGTCCGCTGTCACCACGATTATTCTGCACGTTGGCCAGCCCAGCCTGGAGATCACTTAGCTATGATTAGCTCCTGGATTGGTGAAGTCTCAGAAACCCAGTGACCCACAACTTGGTGCCAGCCAGAATCCACCGTCTGCCTTTCTGCCGCGTCCTGAGCCTAGGTGAAGAGCGGAGCTCACAGGAGGCTCTCAAGGATCGCCCAAGCCAGAAGACTCTTCAGGGATGTGCAGACACTGCACCGCGTGTTCCGACATCAGTTACACGTGTCAGGGTTAGGAGCAGTCAGGGATGCCTGCGAATGCTCTTCGGGGCTGGCTACCTTTGATATTTATCTCTTCATGGTGGCAACACCTGCTTCTAATTTTAAGAGTTCTTTCTTACAGAGAGTGATAGTTTTTTTCTTCAGAAATTTTATACTCAAAAGGCTTAACTAGTAATTTTTCTTCTTTTGATGTGCTGGCTATTTTTATGAGTTTGTCCATCAGCGCCAATACCTTAACATGCCTTTATTTTAAAAGGAAAAATCTTTGTAACTCATAGTCTTTGTGCTGGGTCACACATTTGGGGATTTTTGCAGAGATATAATTTATCAAAAGTGTCATTAGCCACCACTCAGACTACCTGATTGATAACTGCTGTAAGTTAACTAAAACAAGAGACACAGGTCGACTCTCCTTAGTGGGATGTCCAGTAGTTACTGAGCCCAACACCCATGTTTGGTTGTCTTTCTCTCGCAGGCCCAGCCTGGTGGCAGTTGTCCCTTGAGAGTTAGTAAGTGCAGGGGAGAAAGGAGGAAGTCTGTCCGTGCAGACGCGCAGGGACAGCCCAGTGGTGTGGGCATAGCACGCCTAGTTGCAGCAGCTGGAGCTTTGCTTTCCTGTTTCTGTCTTGTACAAAGACCTTTCCCTTGAAGTTGCTGGTAACGTTCCCCACTGAGTAGGAAAAGCAGTGGAAGGTGGTGTGTGGCTAGAAACCATTCTGATGGGCCTGTGGGGGCTGTCTGCTTAAAACTGGATCTTTGTGTTCGGTTCCAAATCAAAAAAAAGGTGTGAATGTGAAAAAGAAGTGTGAAATCATGACTCCAGAGAAAATGTCGGCCATGAGCAGTTTTTAGTTAAGTAAAAACCAGACTTTAGAACCTGGACCAATAACACGAGAAGGAAAAGGGTAAATCACTAACTGAAGCATGAAAGCATTGTGGTGAACAAGTTTCACCGAACGTGAATGAGATACCCGACAAAGGCACTGACTGAAAGGAGGGAACTCATTTTCCTAATTGATACACAGAGCTCTGCCAAGCATTTACCCTTTGTGTCAGAGAAGTAATTTTTAATAAAATATTTCCAAAATATGAAGACAGTTAAGAAAACAGCACAGTTTTTGATAATTGCACTCATAAGTAAACGGATCTATCATTATGTTGTCACGTAATGACAGCGAGCAGAGACACCCTGCTAATCCCTCTCGATAAGCCCGAACATAATTAGACAGGCTCTGTCTTCTCTGTCCTACGCAGCTTCCGCTTGGCACTGAACACTCTTTGCTGATAGGTCGCCACTGGTTTCACCAAAAACGAATGATCTTGTCAGGTACTCTGCTTCTGAGAGTGAGGCTTGTATTTGCATAACTTGCATCACAGCGGTTACTTATCTTGTATCATTTTTGTTTGTGTTAAAAGTTAATCATAACGTGGTCCTTTTGCACCCATAAAGCTGTGTTTGAGGTTGGCAGTTCATTTTGTTTTGCACAATATCAACATCATGAACATTCTTTAACTTGAGGTATTTTTAAGCTTTGAAATGACCGCCAGGCCCATCTCTGTAAAATGGAGTCACAGCTCTTGGAGAGAGGTTTTCCTATGAGGAATGGGCTAGAAGTTTCCTACATTAACTGATAGCCTAAACGAGAACCTCTTTCTCTGACAGATTTTATATGCACATGATGAAATGTGTTATCCTCCCCACACCCACAGGCACTGCCTTTTTAAAACATCCATCCATGTTCTTTGGCTGCATAGCTTCCAGCATAAACTGTGAACCACTGAATAACGACAAAGTGCTATCAGCCCGAGTCTTTGTACAGCTCTGACCTCCCCCTTTCTCCGCATCTCAGGCCTTTGAAGGCTAAAGAACAGCATTATTGAAGGATGGCGGGCAGATTTCACCAAGTAACAGGTGGAGGTCAGAGTCGTTTATTTGCAGGGATGACCGGAATGCAGAGATGAAAAATCAAATGCTTTGCCATAATCAGGTTGTGCGAAAAAATGCTGACTATACTCAGCCAGATTCTAGCTGACAGAACCTTTTCTAGTGCTTATTACTTGATTTCACAGTTCAAGCAATTTGAAGAGCCCTAAAATTATATTTTTTCCCCTATGAAATGTTTTAATCAACTTCAGATTTTTGTACTTTAAATAAAATGACGGGTGCTTTGCCTGTGTCCAGGGAATGCTGGAACTAACAGGTCTGTAGTGTAAGCATGTGCCCAACACCGGACATCAGGGACTATGCGGGGCCCTCAAACTCCAAGGGTCAGAAAGGAACACATGCTAATACATGCTTAGGTTCATATCGTCAGAACTAGGGTTGCCTGCCAAGGAAAGCATCCACAAGGAGACTTACAAACTCCAGCCTGGGATACCTGCAGCCTTTGGAGAGCAGAGGAAAAGCTTCCCATACAAGTCTGGATTTGCATAGTGCATTTGCGTTCTTTTAGGAACCTAAAAAGCTCAACGTGCAAATGCACAAAAGTAAGGCTCACCCCTGCTGCACAGCAGAACCAATAAGTTGCTTGGTGTCGCAGACACACACGCAGGACATGTGGGGTTGAGTCGGCACCATCCCTTGTTGTAGTCACAGGCCCCTGGGGCTCCTGAGCATTTAATTCATTTAAATTTGAGGAATCACAAATGGCTAGTAGCTACCGTACTAGACAGGGCAGACATAAACCAAACTTTTTTTTTTTTACTTTTCCAGCAGGATATCTAAGCAGAATAAATGAAACATGATGTCCTGTTCTGTTTATTTTTATATAGATAATTTCTTTTTCTCAGGAATATCTTCTCTACCACAGTCGTGTGTAATTGCGTGACTTCCAATGTGGGGGCCGGGTGTGGGGGGGCTGGTGGGGTGCGGTGGGCAGTCCCCAGTTCCCATAAGAATACAGAGCGATTCCCTTCATCCAGTCCGGTGTTTACCTTGAAGAGGAAGGAAATCCTCTAAGAAGTCGAGAGACTTTACTGCTGGCCTAGAAACCAGATTTTTATGTGACGTTTCCTTGTGTCTATTCTTTACTCTGATTGTAAATTTTCACTCATAAATGAACATTTGGAATGCATTAGAGAATCCGTGGTTTCTTTTCTCTTGAATAATCCATATACTTTTACTCCATATTCCTATTTTTTTTTAATTAAAGAAATCACTTGTTACCCAGCCTTTTAAATGAGTGACCTGAAATTCTTTATGATGTGGTAATTCTTTGGGGATCCCTGTAACTCATTTTAAATGGGTGCATATAGAATAAGAAAGATAAACCTAAGAAGCTTTATGAACTTTCATTTTATCCTATCATAAAAATGATTTTAAAACATTTTTATTCACTGAAAAAGGCTAAAAGTCAAAACTGTCAGAATGTTTCGCCTTTTTATTGTTGAGTGTGTTAATTATAATACATTACATGAGAGAGAGCCCTAATGGGTTTCATCAGTAGCCCACAGATCTAAGCAAAGTGCAGTATCTTCAGCAACCTCCCCTCAGCAACAGCGGGCATGCCTGCACCTGTGGGATGGACGTATGCCATCACTGCCTTCCTTACGCACCACTGTTGGGGAGAGCCAGTCACTAGGGGTAGCCGAAAGAGTTCCAGGAAGTCTTGCTCTTGTGCTGGAGGAGCTGCTGGAGTGTGGAAGAGATGCATCCGAGCATAAATCTGCCAGTCGCGAGTGACGTGCAGAATACAGTCCTGGTCCTCAGCTTTCATCCTGGGCTGGAGAAATGTCACTGCACTTAAGCTGGCACCATTGGTCTGACAGACATAACTGGACTGTATGTCCCCCTACTTAGACTGGAGGAGCAGAGAATCAGTGGGTGTTCAGGGCAGGAACCACGACAGGGCACGACCTCCTGACCTGCAGCACCTGCAGGCAGAAGAGCAGGAGTAGCAGCAGGGTCGTGGCAGCCTCGGTGTCCTGAATCCATCCAGAATGTTCCCCTCCCATAGTCATTTAAATGCTGAGGAGGAGCTGGAAGTTGAGCAGAGCCAAATCTGCAGAGTGATTCACAGGGAGCAGCTTGTTGAATGGACAAGAGGCATACTAGGAGTGCACAGTGCCTATCCGCTGCTTCACAGCTGGCCTTGGGCTGGAATCTTCTAAGTTCCTGTGATATGTATTGTGTAGAGGCTCTGTATTCAAATTACAGATGATACATTCAGCATATTCATTGAAATCCTAAGTGACTGCTTCTAAGACCATGGCAGCTTTGATACACAAGACAAATGATTCCTGGTGTACTTGAGAGTCACTTTCAGTGTGGTGCTTTCTTCTGCAGCTCCTACAACCTTCCTTTGATTTTTCTTTCCTTTGGAAAACCAAATGAGAAACTTCAACTATAAATATACTTTATAGACTTAAAGAGGACACTGTCTGTATAGTGCACCAGGGAACTCCATGAGGGAATGTGTTTTTTCAGAGCGTACCAGTGCTGGGACACTTGCCCCAAAACTTACACTAACCCCAACCCAAGGCTAACCCTAAACTTCATCATAACCCTAGCCCTAGCCCTAACCCTACCCCTAAATTTTTACCCCAACCCAACCCCAGCCCTAAGACTTCACACCCTGTGTGCAAGATACCTTCATAGTCAGCACTACAGAGTTCCTGGTCAAAGTGTTTGGCAAAGCTCATAATCTGGGGGCAGGGAACAGTTAAAATTAACTATTATCTGTTCCCCATTTCTTCTTTTTAATTTCTGTAACATCAGGCTGCAGCAAAAGATAACTAAAGAAACCTTGATTTCTCATGGGCAACCTGGAGAATTCTTTTGAGGGTTTAGATACCATTTAATCTGACGACGTTATTGAGGGTTCTTGGAAGAATCGGAGGGAACTAGAAGCTTTCAAGGTGGCCCTCTTTTTGCAGAGACCTGCGTGGTAGCCCCTTTTCTGAGAAGGCGTCCTCCCTTCTCTGAGTGTGCGTGGGCTGTGGAGGGCGTCTCAGGTGAAAACCACGGAGCCCCGGGCTCTGGAGCGGAGTCTCGGTGCGCGGGCACTGCCAGCCCTCCGAGTCGGGCGGTTGAGTCCTCGTGCTTTCTGCTGCTGCGAGACAGATCACCACGCCCTTACCGCGCCCGCGCTTACTGGAGCCCCTGCAGACCGGCAGGACCCGCGCCCTGCCTTCCGCGCTCTCCGACAGCGCCCGCCTTTCTCCGGGAGGTCGCCACCCTGGCAGCGCCGCCCTCGAGGCCCGGAGACCGCTGTCTTCCGCCTGTCTTCCGGGGGCTTACCTGCTGCGGCTGGGCCCGGGCGTCGTGGGCCTTTCCTGCCTGGGCCTCGGCTCCTGTCGTGGAGGTCGAGGCCGCGGAGCCAGCCGAGCCCAAGCCGTGCGGGCGTCCTGAGGTGCGGAGCGTGGCCGGCGTGTGCGGCTGCCTCGCTGGACCCCAGCCCGCCACGCCCCGAGATCATAGCGTTGGCCTCGCCTGCAGAACACAACTTGCGACAGCCCTAATGGCTGAGAAATTCGGGGTCGGGGTCTTAGAAAACCACCGACTGGCCACAGTGCTTTTTCCTTCGTGTCTTCTCCCCCTCCTCTCCCCTCCCCCCATCACAGTGCGTGGCCGAGCTCTACCGCACATGCGCAGAAGCCCCCCCCCGGGGGGGGGGTGCACCGCGACTTTTCAGGACAGTCAGGGCAGAGCACTTCCTTAGGCAAAACTGCACGCCAGACTTGTACCTCTCGTCCCATAAAACTGTTACTTGCTGCGGAACTTTGAAATATTTTGTTTCATCCAAAAGAGTAGTATTACTTTATAACCTCACTTAAAAAAAAAAAACTTACACTTCTAGAAAATACATTGAAATTAAAGTTGTGATTCATTAAGAGAAAGCCAGTCATTAAATAATACATTAACTGTGTAACAGTTGTGCCTACATAATTGTCAATAAGAACCTTTCACAGAAATTTTATTTTTAAAGTAATATACAGAAACCAAATTTTATTTCAAAACTAAAAGCAAAGATTCATAGCCTCTAGCTTTTGACGTAGAGCAGTTCGCTAGCATTTTGAAATTTCATCGGGCCAATTAAGTATACAAAGCGAATTAACCAAAACATACATTATGCATGTAGAGAAAATATTAAAGTATATAATAAGGAAATGTGCTCAATAGGAGTCTTTAAAAATTGAAAACACAAAGTAATTTTGAGATTCATGACAGCCCTAGGGTTCGTATGACTTGGCGGTGATAAATATAGAAGAGATTAGATATGGTTTTGGCTTGTTGTTCTTGCAGGCCAACAGACAGAGCTTCCTCCTCTTTAACTCCTTCAAGGAGGGTTGAGAGTTTGCTGGGTTTTAACTCATTTACCACCGTGATCATTCCTGATATTTGTTGTGCCTCAATTTTATGTACAACTCCCCTCTTAAAGGGTAAATAGTGGATTAAAATCACATTTGCTTTTCTCAGAATGGCAGGGACAGGGAAACATGAACATTTCAAAGAAATAACTCTTTCTTGAGTCCAGCCATTAGCTTTCTTCAGTAAGGTTAGATCAGATACAGAATTTCATCAATGATTTCATTGTTTGAAGGAAAAAGCATCTGTGATCTTCAAAGTTTTGACATTTTTCATTTTCCATTCTATTTCTGCCTCTTTCATAACACATAATTCAGGCATTTAACTGAATTTAAATTAATGGATTGGTTGGCAGCTAAAAAACTGGTTTGTGCAAGAGGTTTGAATAACTTGCGAGATTTCTCTACACTTTGAGCATTTCATTCTTTTAATTTTTGTTCTGAAATTTCTTTCCTGCTGTATTCACGCGATGATGCCTCAGTTTGGGCATTGGCAGTGATACTGTCCTGCCCCTCCGCGATCTCACCTGCCTGTCCGAGTGAAGTGTGACAGAGTTCGCTGTGACCTTCATTCACATCACAGGGCAATGCTACCAAGCCTCAGACCCAGAGTGCCCACTTAGAATGAAGTTGCGCACCACTCCACACAGTGCCCAAGTCTGACCATGCAAACATGTGCTTATCAGTGTGAAGTTTCTTTCTGCCTTGGGGTTGAAGCCCATGCTTTGCGTGTCCGCACTCTGACCGCCAAAGCCACAGTGTCACTGAGGTCTGCACCAGCAGTTATATACCTTTCTGTACCCTGGGTGCATTCCAGGCCTTCAGTAAAATCCTGCACATAGAGAGGAGAAAACAGACACAACCTGTGTCCTTGTGGGACTTCAAATGACCTCACACAGCAATCACAGTGTGGAGTGGCAGTGAGGAAACCTGAGATGAGAGAGATGATAAGGATGTATTTAGATACCGTCCACACAGACTCGGGCTCTGGTCAGCTCTCTGCTAGAAAGTGTTCGGCATGGTGCACGGTGCTCTCGTTAGCCAGTAACAGCCACTGACCAGCATCCTCACTTCATTATTTATTTTTCCGGCTCTCCCAAATAATCATCTGTCATGGGCAGAAAACAGTACAGACAGAATGTGGAGGAGGCGAACCTCGGTCTGTGCTGGAAGCTAGGAGGAGCCATTTCCACGCTTCCCACGGACTCCTTCCCATGTCACCAGTACCCGGGGCACCTGCAGAGGCGTCACACATACTAGCAGTGACACCTGGGGCTTCTTCTCAAGCCATTTCCTGGCCAGGAGATGCTGGGAAAGCCTTGAGCATAGAGTAACACATGCTTTTCTTGTATTTTCTTAACATAAAAATAACATGATTATCATAGGAAAGACATGTCAGCAAACAAAGGTCAGTGAAAGTCCCCCAGACCCCCCCACCCCCACAGAGTGCCACTGTTGTGAGCCGGGTTTCATCTCTGTTCTCTCTGCATGGAAGGGAACGCCCTTCTGCGGGGTCATGGTGCAGGCTGCGCCCCACCTGCAGCCACGTTTGTCCAGGCGCTGGAGCTGCTGTGAGTGCTTTGTGGTTATACTCAGAGCATGAGTGTTCCATCTCCGCGAGGCCCAGCCTGTCCCTCCTTGACAGGCGCCCTGGCATCGCCCACCCCGGTTATTGGCCATTTAGGGTTTTTTTACTTTTATCTTTTCTTTTTTTCTATTATAAATAGTTTATTGAATGAACAACAGAGTTGCCATTGTTGAGGGCATTTTTAGGTTAAAAGAGCTAAATTACTTAAGTTGTGGAGGAAGTGCTCCGGTGCTGAAGCAAGGTATCCGGCAGGACAAGCGGCTGCCAGGTCTTTCTGCTTGGCTCACCCGCTTCCTGGGGCCAGCGGTCACACATCTAGATGTGAGGACGAGCTGGAGAAACTGAGCCCCACGTTAGCTTTCAGGGACTGTAACCAAAGAAAAAGCTTTGCTCTGCTCACAGTCTCAGGGGCCTCGGTCCCTGGTCAGACTCATTGCTTTTATTAATTCATTTTTTAATTTTTATTTTTATTAGTAATGTGCGAGTACATAATGATCCCATTCTTCTTGGTGAACTGGCGCACGTCTGTAACACATCTTCATTCTTCTTCCATCCCCAACCCTTTCCCTTCCCTCCCTCTGTCTCCTGGCCCTTCCCTGTTGGAAAAGATCTGTCTCCCTGTTCCCCATTATCTATCTTTACTTTTGCTCTTTATTTATATTTTGAGTTTCGCATAAGAAAGAAACCATGTGGTACTTCAGCTTGTGTGTCCAACATTTCACTTAACGTTATGGTCTCCATCCACTGTCCGGCAAATGCCTCAAGCCTGTCCTTCTTTACTGCAGCCTAGCGCTCCCTTGGTATAAATACCACACTTTCTTTACCCAGTCACCTGTTGGGGGGCACTTGGCTCCCGCAGCATGGCTGTTCTGCTGCTACACGCGGGTGTGCGTGGACCCGTTTCTGTTGGGCAGTCTGGCACAGGGGCAGGCGTGTGTCGCAGAGCACAGCTGCTCCTCTCAGGGCTGAGAAGCAAGAGAGTAGGAGGAAGGGCAGCGTCCACTGCTGCCTTCCAGGGCCAGCACCCAGCGACCTGGGACCTCCTGCTGGCCCCATCCCTGCAGGCGTCACGGCCCCCAGAGCCCCAGAGGAGCGAACTCCATGGAGAGAGGGCCAGGGCCCCAAGCAGACGGTGGCGGGTGCGTCGGAATCAGGTCTGGGCCAGCCCGAGGACTCTGCCACCTGTGCCCTGACAGCAGAGCCCTCCACGCTCTGCTCCACTCCGCACTCACGGCCGCAGCCTTCTTCTGTGCTGCTCCAGTGTCCTGGGCTCACCCTGCAGGCTGCAGTGCCGTTGTCTGTGAACTCAAAGGCACTGTTCCTCCTTCCAGGGATGCCGTCTCCAACCACGCTGAAGAAGTCGGAGAAGTCGGGCTTCAGCAGCCCCTCGCCCTCGCAGACCTCCTCACTGGGCACAGCGTTCACGCAGCACCACCGGCCGGTCATCACGGGACCCCGAGGTGAGCCACTCCACTCATCCTGCAGGGCAGCGGGGCTCGGGCCAGCGAGGGCCATGACAGCCTTCTTTCCTCTCAAAGGCAAAGGGCCAGACGTGCTTGTTGCTTGTGGGATTAGCAAAGAGGTGGGTAGTAAGTGGACCTGCACCAGAGTCAGGTCCACCTCTGGGCGTGTGTGCGTGTGCGTGCATGTGTCCGTGTCCTGCATGGGTGCCTGTCACCTGTTTTCAGGTCAGGGCTGACCGCCTGTTCTGGGCGGTCAGTCACCTGTTTTCAGGTCAGTGCTGTTACTCGCTCTCTCCTTCCGTCCTCTTCCCGGGAAGCCCGATCTCAGTATGCGGTGTTTGTGTTGGGGCTGCTTCTCTCCATGCTGACGAGCAGCTCCATCCACTCCTTTTGAAGTGGGAGATGGTCGGTCTGGTTTCCATTGCCGTGTTTTCATTTTCATCTCGTGTGCTTCTGAGTGTATTATTAAAATGTGTCCCCAAGAAATACGATTTGTATTTCACATTAAAGACAAGACTTAAACCTCAAGAGAATGTCAGCAAATCACTTAATTTGATCTTACTGCAAGATGAAAATATTTACCAGTTTGTTTAAGCACCTCTTCCAGCAGGAGCAGGAATAACTACACGTTTACCTCTCCCATCCAGGCCAGCAAGGTGGAGTTGGGGGCTCTTGTCTGCTCTGACACACACCTGGAGGAATGGAGATTTCTGGCCTTAGCCTCAGTGTTATCCCATGGATCTGAACCCCTTCAGGTGTAATGTCTGTGCATCTCAGGAAAACACGGGATTGAGGGCCGCCTGGCGCTCTCTGGGAAAGAGCACACAGGAGAAATGTGCACTTCAACTCTGTGAGGCGACTCCTAGTCAGCAGTGATGGACGCTCACTTGCTTCCTCTTTAAACACCCGAGATCAATGATAGACCTTTCCCCAGACTCCTCAGAATTTTATTCACATGTGTAGTAAACAGAGATACTTACCGTGTGTGTGTGTGTGTGTGTGTGTGTGTGTGTGTGTGGGTGTGTGTGTATAACCTTGAACACCCGCATCTAAACTGGATGAGATGGTCCTAGAATAGGCCTCTTTAAATGAAGTGGTATTATGACATTGTCCTCATCATTAACATTCCCTCAGCATCCAGATGATAGGGGGAACCAAAGATACGAAGCCCTTTTGCTCAGAATGTTTATGATCCTGGGAGATAAGGCATGGGTTACTTCTCAGGTTTTATGGTCAGGTCAGCATATTCAGAAGCTAAGTGAGCGTTACACACACAGCTTTCTACAGGAGCTCAGAGAAGGGGCTGTGGAGCTTCCTCCATTCATTCATCCCACAAGGATTTACTGAGTCACTCGATGACCCTGGGATAGGTTCCTGGGTTCCTGTCTGCATGGCACCTGCAGTTTAGGGCAGGAGGGACACCAAAGAAGACAGGCACTTAAAAGGTGACCAGGAATGGGCTAGCGCTGATCATTTGTATCAAATAAAGAGAGCAGAAACATAGATGATACTGAAATCGCCTTCTGTGAGTGAAGGGCGTTCCAAACACAGGGGAGACAGTTGTGTGGAGCAAAGAGCCTGGAGAGAGCCCACACAGCCTCAGGAGGGCGGGGTGAGCGGCCTCCTGCCTTCCGCCTGCCTTCTGGGTTCCTTCCCACTGTGGGAGGAACCTTTCTTCCAGCCCCACCTGCTTACACAGAAACTGCAAAACAAAAAAAGGCATTATTTTGGAGACTCCTTGAAGAGCATAAAGCGGTGGGCAGATGTTACTCAGCGAATGCTGAAAGTGCCCGAGAGGTGTCTTGGTGTAAACCTGCCCTGGAACTCACTGTGACCACCTGGCGCCACGGGGAGGTGGCCCTCTGCTACTACGGCTGCGCCGGTGTCCCGTCCCTGCTCACCCTCACAGCCCTGAGGAGGATGACAGAGAAGGATGCCTGGTGTGGACGAGGGATCCCAGAGCGTCTTGCCGTGCACCAGCTTCGGGATGGCTCCCACACCCTCCGATCTTCTGGGAAGGTCCGTGCAGGCCCCGCAGTCTGGGGAGGCCCTGGGTGTCACAGTGGCTCTGCGGCTGCATCCTGGGCGTCAAGTCACAGCGCCCAGACGGCGGAGGTCAGGAGTGCTTGCTGCGGGCACTGTGTCCCATTCATCCTCCCCTGTCCCTGTTGGCACTTCTCTCACTCCCACGACCCGTCTAGGTGAGGACTCAATGTTTCAGGAAGATCTGGCCAGGTCAGAGGAGGGGGAGTCCGTGCCAGGGAGCCCGTGTGGACCAAGCAGGACATGGTCCTGACGGACAGGTCAGCCTCTGACCGCTTCCTGTGCAGAGCTACAACTGGGACTGGGGATCGGGCTCCAGAAGCCTGGCGCCTTGAAGAAGAGAGAGTGAGCCCTTTGCCAGGGCCCAGGCACAAGGGTGATGCCCGGTTAGTTTGCTGCCCTCCTGCTGGGGCACAGGACGTGCCCACCTCTGGTCAGCATGGTGTGAGATGTCTGCCAGAGCCACTAGGATTGCTTGAGGCAGTGCTGAGACCAGAGAGCAGCCTGTGGGCTGTCCCCGTCCGTCCTCAGGGGACAAAGCCAGGTTACATCGCCAAATAAATGCAGACCCTATTTTTGACTGCAAATATGAGCTCAATTTGGACACATGATGGCTGCCACTTGCAAAGGAAACCTGTTCCTCGTGATGCAGGGCAAAGGCAGGGACACATGGAAGGAAGTGTCAGGGTGGGCTCTCTCAGAGCGCCAAGTCCTGAGCAGTGTGCACCACGGGGATTCACTCCTCACGACCCAGTGATGGGAGGTCCGTGATGGAGGTGCTGGCGGTCCGGCCAGCGGCCACTGCCCCCTGCAATCTCCTTCAGAAGTGCCAGATCTCATGCCTGAGGCTCCACCCTGTGACCTGGACCCCCCACAAAGGCACTACCCCGAGAGCATCGCCTTGGAGTTTAGGGTTCAGCACATGGATGTTGAGGGGCTCCAAACATGCAGTCTACACAGCAGCTATGAAGCACAAAGGCTAGGGCTCAGGTAAAAAGGGTTTGAATCCTGTGCCCACCACTGGTACGCAGTGTGTGACCGTTTCTGTACACAGAGAGCATAACCTCTGCCTCCAAAGATTGTATTTTGGAAGGAGTGTATGAAGTCACGTGTTTACAGCCACTTGTGCAGCGTCTGCAAAGAGACCCATGCACATGGGTTGAGCAAACCAATAATCCATTTTCGTCCAGGCGTGGAAGCCCCACACTGCCCGGCCGCCTTACCTGTCAGTGTTGTACACATCTAAAACGCTAAGACCAGAGGTTTTTCCGGCTTTGGAATATTTGCATCTACACAGGATCTTGGGGACAGGACCCAAATCTAAACACAAAACTCATTTATGTGTCTCATGCATGTCACCTGAAAATAATGTTATACCATATTTTATTGTACCTGCATTTTGACTGCAACCTGTCACATGAGGCCAGGGGTGGAATTTTCCACTTGTGTAATGTCAGTGCTCAAAAAGTTGAGCCTGTGGAGTCTTCTCAGACTTGGAATTCTCAGACAAGAGGTGCTCACCCAGTGATGCGTCTGACCGGAAGCTCTGTGCGCTGCACCCAGCCCGCCCATCCTGTAAGCGTGTGGTGCTGCCAGTTTGCTCTCCTACTTCATGTGCCACCCCAGAGTGAAACTCTGGGAGACCAGCGCCTCTCACACGTGTGTCTTTGTTCTGCCTCACCCAGCGGGTTTGATGGCCTGGATGCAGGAAAAGTAGTCTGACTGCATATAAAAGCTCTGCCCAGCACACATGCCCCAGTAGGTTCTCTCAGCTTCAGAAGAGAGAAGGTGATACACTGTGGCAGCTTAGGAAGTCCTCCGCCAGCAGTGTCCAAGATGCAGAGCGGGCCCTTCATCTGAAGGAACCGTGCAAGGTTAAGTAAAGCCTTGATACTAAAAGCTATGGTTTGCCTTAGTTTATGCTGTTCTGACCACTTCCCCATTTATTTGGAAAGGTGGAAGGCATGTGGCTTCTTAAATCTAATCCCCTTTCTGACAGTGACTTTCTTCGTGGCTTGGAGAAATCACTTAACCCCTCGGCCTCAGTTTGGCCGTCTGTACCATGGGAAAACACTTTGCTACCTGATTCTCTGTGTGGTTAGAATTAAGGAAAAGGGTTAAACTATGCTGGAATATCCTCGAGGTGGAGAAGCTATTAAATTTCAGCAAAAGCATTTGTACATCAGACATTATTTCATTTACCAGACACTATAAGCTGAAAGGCTGGGCCTTCAAGGACTTTTGTTAGTGTTACTTAAAACTGTAACCATCATGAAGTGTTTAATCACATCAGTTTATCTTATTCATGATAAATGGGAAAAGTCTGTTCTTTCTTTTTGGTACAGGAGTTCGAACTCAGGACTTCACACTTACCAGGCAGGTGCGGTGCCACTGAGCTAAACCCAACCCGAGTCTCTTCTTTTCTTTGTCTTTTCAAGAGTTGTAAGTTTGCTCGATGATCTAAAGGGTCTTTTTCTGAGAATTATCTGGAGTAATCATCAGTGGTCAGTTTCTTGAAATTTATTTTTCTGCCTAAAGTCTTTCTTTTCAAAAAACAAGACGATGAATGGTACTTACTGTATTTAAAAACTTCATACTAAGTCAAGTAACTCTGTGCTTTAGAGATTTGGAAAAAAGGAGATGCCCACATCCTAAAAACTGGGAGTCAGAAGTGAAGGTACTGGTAGGGACTGCTCTCAGAACCTTCTAGACCAGTGGTGCCAAACCCGCAGGTCCTGCAGCGACTGCTTATCGTGGAAAGCTGTAAAAGGTTCGCCATCACTGTTCTGGTCCAATGTGTTCCTTATGTCTGCTAAGAATGTGTTTGGCTGCAGTGAGAGGAAAGTCTGATTAAACAGTGACTCGGGAACTGAGGAGTTGTATTTTTCTTGTGTAAAAATAAGTGTGTGAGTCAAGGCCGTTGTGGAAGCAGCAGGATGCCAGCACATGTGAAG